GTGAACTTGAACTCTGTGTCAAAGATTCAGGTTGCAGTTATTTATATTTCCTATCACCTTAAATCTTCACTCAAAGACAAGTATCTTTGACAGTGTATATATAGATGTATCATATATAATTAGGGATGGGTATTGATAAGATTTTCACGATTCCGATTCCATTTTCGATTCTGTTTAACGATTCGATTCTTTATCGATTCTTTTAAAAAAGGAGAACACTAAGGTCGATTAGCTTAGAACTTTGTTTTATATCTTCTCTTTGAACAAGATAGAAATTTAGGAGTAACATGGCCTTACAAACCCAACAGTGAGATCTTCAGATCCACAGCCTACGGCTCTTCAATGGGGCATCACAGGGTCCCCGGGGAAAAAAATTGTAAATGTAAAATAATAAAATAAATATTCTTCTGTAGCAATAACAAAGTATAACATAAATTATTCTGTAGCAATTACACAAGAATATCCAGTAATGTCCCTGCCTACAATTAAACACATTCACTTACTGAAAATCATCTGCTGTGACAAACGGCTGCAAGCCTTTGACCACAAACTGAGTCACTGCTCGGTGACATTCGTCTATCCTGGCCTGAAAGGAGACGCTACGGTAGACTGCAGCGAGAACTGCCAGCATCTGAGCCAGACTCTGTCTCATCATGGTCACCTAAACGCACAGTAATGGCAGGTTTGTAATAAGGCAGATCGCGCTAACATAATCTGTACTGTTAGTTGATTATTTACCTGCCGCATTAACGGGAGAGGACGTGCAAACGTTACCGCTGCTGCTGGGTTGAGATTCACGAGTCCGGAGCGAATTAAAAACACGACATTCATTTAAGGTCATCGCGTGTTTGTGAGCAAATGCTTTTGCATATTCGTCGTGTTTCCTCCCTTAAATGAAATATCTACTTTGCAAGTATTGCAAGTTGTCCTGTTGTCATCCGTTCTCGTGAAGTAGAACCAAACTTTTGAGCGTTTGAGCTGCCGTGTTTCCTGCCAGGTAAATGACGCTCCGCAACGTGGTGACGTCATTCAGGGCGACTGGAATCAATAACGGAATCGTTTGCAAAAATGGCAAAAATGGCAAACAATTCCAAGGAATTGAAACAGTGGGAACCGGTTCTCAACAAGAACCGGGTTCAGGCTGATCCTGCCACGATTTGTATTATATATAAGAGACAAATATTATTCTTTTAATATGTTGGCATTACTAAACTTGGCTCAATGCTTACATACATGTGTAAAAACAAAATGTACGAGCTGTGAAAACTGTGTCTGATAGAATGAAGAGTAGACTGATATATGAAATATTCCTTTATTGGGTGAGAAAATCAGACCATGTCATAACTGCTTTAAGTCACACAGAATAGATATCAGAGCCTTAAACAGGCTGACTTCTGCTAAATGGGTCAAACTGGGCAGAAAGTCTACAAACACATAACATCCTTATAGAATATGATGTAACACTATAGATCAACTTACCTCAGAATATATAAAGCATATAAACAATTAAAAAAGTCATCACATTCTCTGTAAGATTAAGGTCGAATATTGAACAGCATATATTTTAAAGTAAAGGCTTTGAAACCAAGCTGATGCTGAAAGTACAAACATCACTAATGTCACATAACATGTGGCCAACAGTAATGTTTTAATGTTCTTTATTATTAAACATTTGCACATAAATAAGTGACATCATATTCAGTACTTACTTTTAAAAGTTTACTCTTTGTCATTTTTTTCGGAAAGAATTTTCCAAAAAACACCCACGCTGTGCTATAAATTCTGGGATATGTTGGGCCACAAAGGATACACCTGACCCATCCTTCAAATTGAAATGAAGGATGCATTTGGAGCAGCCTTCAAGGTGGCCCTCGTCGTGTCGCAGTGACATAATTGGCCTTCAAATGCGGCCTTGAAGGATGCAGACCCTGAATTGGAACATGAGTATGAACATATTACATACATAACATGAACATGGAATATGAGTATGTCTAACACCAGTTTTCAGTTGTCTTTTGTTTGAGCACCTGTTTCCTCACTTGTCCTCCTGTTTACCCGTCACTTGTCTGTCTTGTTTCTGTTTAAGGTTTTTGTTGTTTATGGTCTTTGGCTATGTAAGGCTATGTTTTAGTGTGTGTGTCTGTATCTTGTCAAGAAACAACAAGACAATCAGGTGTAATGAGACAAAGAAAGTAAAACCTTCCTCACTTTCCTCACACTCATACCTAAGTTGGTAACCAGCTATATTAATAACCATCTTTATGTGAGTGCTAATTACCATTGTTGGGGTGAAGTGAATCCAAGTAACCTAAGACACTCTGGTATGTTGGACATGTTTCATAGTACAGGGCACTGATGCGTTCACTCTGTTCACAGGAAACACAAATGTCGTTTCCATGGAGATGACCCACCAGGTTGGGCAGAATGACCATGTTGCTTTTGATGTCACCACTGAGCATGACTTCTCTGAGTGATCCGAATCAACATTTCAGTGCAGCAGGGACCTGAAACATGCCACTCTTCTTGAACTCTGGTGAAGAGAGCGAGAGAGCGAGTATCACACAGGAAGCTTCAGCTTCTCATTTCTCAGAAGGGAAATGTAATTCTGGTTTCCCCTCTTTCACTTCCCGAAAGCCCACTGAAGCTGTTTCATCAGAACCTCACTGATACTTGTAATAACTTGTTTTATATACTTTATGTTTAGCATTAAAAACTATGACTAAAGGTATATTTCCCACACTGACCCGACCCGATATATGTATATAATAAATCAATTAAATATGTAAATGACCCAAACTTTACTGAGGTACACATTAATCAGTCATGTTTATATGAATACAAACTGTTTGTGAGACATAAGTAATGCACATATATAAAAAATAATAATGTTCTGAACATGAAATAAAATGATGAAGCAATAAACTGTTAGAGTCAGCTTCCTGTCTGTAAGGCAGTTTGTTGGTGCAGGTGATTCTTTGGTAACTGTGTTTTATGACAGGTTTGCAAGCCACCACCTATTTCTTATAAAAACATTAACAGCGACAGCAACACTTTAGGTAAAAGTCTACTTCAAAGTTCAGAGTAGTTTGTAAAAAAAGAAAGTACTTATGATACAGACAAAAAGTCACCTGACAGTAGAAAGCACCACTTGGTCGAGGTTGGCTGGTTCACAGGTCATCATGGCACAGTACTGGCTATGTTTCCAGTGTCCAGAAACCCGTCTGAGGGGGTTGCACAGATAAACCATGTGTATGTTTTACTTGTTTCATATTTCATTTATACACAATATTTTCAGTTTACAAACATACATTTAACTGAATTTATAAACTGCTGTATAAAAAAAACACACAAAAAAAACCCCAAACGTCACCTGATCTGTGGTGGTCATTTTTAACACTTTGTTTTTATTTTTGTGGTTTTTTTTGTCTCTCGTCTGACCAGAATCCTGAACTGAGTAAATAAAGCTTGTTTCCTCTTATCCACTTCTCTGGTCAGTGTCTCAGTTTCACTATCGGTCAGTGTCAAATCTTCTTTGCTTCAGCATTAATGGTCATGTCTGATAACCTGCAGTACAAACATCAGCTGTAAATGTGTGTGAATGTGCAGAAAGATGAAAGTAAAAGTCAGGTTCATGCACTGCAGGGTGATCAGTGGGCGGGGCCTGTGGCAGAGCATATGGACTGGATTGATAGCCAACTTTTGACAGGGGGGGATTTCTCTAAAGTCTCTCCTTTTTAATTAAATAAATTCATGAAAAGAAATTAAAACATTAAATACTAAAAGAGCTAATCTAATGTATCTGTAATGTATAAACTGGACCATCTTCAGAAGCCAGACAACAAAGTCACTCTTACACAGATTACTTTAAACTGCATCGTGAACTGCTTTGTATATTTACTTCACAGACAACAAAAATGTAAAAATATGGCTCTTACAAGTCATAGTGTAATAAACAGGAGACACTTTTCCTCCAGGTGCAGACTTGATCAATGAACTCCCCTCACACTGGAACATGTCTGTGAGCACACTGAAGGTCTACACATGTTCATTTGTATTGACAAGCAGAAGAGCTAGCCTGACCTCTTTTTAGCTCCAAAAGGGACATGAAGGGTACCTGACGAGGTCGGTCATCAAGACCACTTGAGACCAAAACAATATCTCAGGATCAATATCTTACCCAGGGTTGCTTTCATGGTCAGTAAGACAACATGCTATTAGGTCGGTAATAGCACAAGTTGGTCTGCTTAATGAGCTTGGGTCGCTACTGCAACAATCTATCAGAGCTTTAACTTTATCATTAATGAAGTCTCAGACCTAATTTTCCTAGAGAAGGTAAATTATATCAGGAGAACTCAGCAGAGGGGGTACAGAAACATTTTTGCATTAGCCTGGACCCTCGGCATCCACATGCTCATGAACCTGAGTAGTTGTAGCAGCTGACCCAGACAATCAATAAAGAAAATCAAAAGAAAACGTGTCAGATTTATGCACTAGGAACTCTCAAAGCTCGAAAGACAGACCGTCTTTAAACTTCTAATCAAATCAAATCACTTTTATTGTCACATCACATTACTGGTACACTGGAACAGCACATGAGAGTGAAATTCTTGTGTGCAAGCTTCACAAGCAACAGGTGTGCAAAATACAAAAACATAAGAACAAAGCAAAATATAAGAATAGATAAATACATGTACAAATATAAGAGTGTATGTGCATTACTGAATATGTATTCTAAATATGTATATCTACGCGTGTGTGTGTGTGTGTATACATATATATAAAATTAAATAAAAATAAAATATACAGAGGTCAGCAGTTGGAAATGTGCAAAACAAATGACATTTATGTACAGTATGGAGTGCATAGTGTCGAAATCGACAATTACAGGAATGTCGACCTGTAGATGTCTTGGAGGGAGGGAAGCTCACCTCCAATTTTCCGTTCAGCACACCGCACTACTCTCTGGAGAGCTTTGCAGTTGTAAGCAGTGCTGTTGTCATTCAGGTGGTGATGCATCCAGTGAGGATGCTCTCAGTGGCACAGCGGTAGAAGGTCCTGAGGATGTGGGGGCTCATGCCGAATCTTTTCAGTCTCCTGAGAAAGAAGGAGAATGTTTTGTTTGTGTGTACTGACTATGTGAGATTGTCTTCCAGATGGACACCCAGGAAGCAGAAGCTGCTCACTCTCTCCACAGCAGCTCTGTTGATGGTGATGGGGATGTGTGCTTCTCTGCACTTCCAGAAGTACACTATCAACTCCTTTGTCTTTGCGACGTTGAGGGTAAGATGGTTGTCTCGGCAACAGTGACCTCCTCCCTGTAAGCCGTTTCATCACCTTTGGTGATAAGACCCACCACTGTGGTGTTGTCCACATACTTCACAATGATGTTGGAGTTGCTAGTTGCCATGCAGTCATAGGTGTAGAGTGAGTACAGGAGAGGGCTCAGTACACACCCCTGTGGAGCACCAGTGTTCAGTGTGATGGGGGATGAGGTGATGCTGCCCAGTCTGACCACTTGGCGTCTGTCAGACAGGAAGTGAAGGATCCAGCTGCAGAGAATGAGCAGGTGTCCATCCGAGATTATGTTTTCTAAAAGTGGAACCAAAGAGGAGTATACAGGGAAAACTAAGTGGCCTGTGGTAATCCGAAAGATCGTCCTTTTCCAAAGGTGAGAGAGAACAGTCAGTCAGAGATACACACTGGATCAAACACAGCTCTGCTAATTTGAATCAAACATTTGTGAGAAGGACGGCTGTGCACAATGACCTACCTGCCAGCTCTTCTCCTCCATTTAACTTGCTTCTGTAGTAGTGAGTGGAATAGATTCATGATTCCTGGTCCAGAGAAGACAGAACAGTCAGGAAGAAGCAAGCAAAAGATCAACATGTGTAACATTGGTATTTCCAGTTTGACACAAAGATCCAAATAATGAGTCACATGATTACACTTAGATATTTAATATAAATAAAACAAACTTGATCAGTAAAGAAGATTGAAAGAAGGATGAATGATGCTTTCAGTATTCAGGTTCTGATGTAAGTTGAGGTTTTAGCAAATACTGGATTTAAACCTGCAGGATGTGTGTTGAGTTAAAGATTAATTATAAATGGTCCAGCTCCAGTCTTTACATTTCACACCAACTTTACAACAGACAACAAAAAGAAAGAAAGAGGAAGACGACTTTACACAGTGGAAGAAGGTCCATCAGTCATGGATTTTTTCTTATTTCTGAAGCCTTGAAACCGCTCTGTAAAGCTTGCACCATGTTTTCCTGCAGAGGAAACAGACAACATTGATTCATAGTCTCATTTAACTTGTCTTCAATCTCTGGTGCGAGTTATCAAGAATATTTGAAACATCAGAATCAGGACTGCAACCATTACTCAGTGATATCAAAGAAAACTATGGGAAACTATTCCTCATTTCAAGACAAAGCAGAACCATAAAATTACACTAATACTTAACATTTAAATATTGTTTTATTTTAGTGTCAGTTTCAGAATGAGTGTATTAAGTGAATCTATTTGGCATCTGACACTCAGCAAAAATGGACACTTGATGTTTTCACAGCAGTTCCTCAACTAAAAGAGCAGTGGGTGGAGGAAGCTACATTTACTGACCTCTGACAGTAAGCATCACAATTTTCTGTCTAAGGATGTCTTCACCCTGGGAGACTGTGCACATGTAGAAACCACTGTGGGTGTTTTGGGGGTCTTTCAGGGTCAGACTGAGGTCTCCAGTCCTCAGTGGCTCTTCATTCATCTCTGTGCGACCTCTGTAATCCTGTCCCTGTTCTTCTAGCTGGTTTTGGCCGTGCTGATAGGTGTGGACTGTGACTTCGGCACGCCTCCACTCGACTGTGACATCATCGGGTAGATCAAGAGTGGTTTTAAAGGGCAGCAGCACAGACTTCTTCCCCTTTGTTACTTCGACCATTTCCACCTTGTAGCCTGATAAAATACAACATGAGCTGTAAAGACAGACACAAGTTATACATTTACTGACCTCAGATAAGTTTACTGACCTCTGATAGTGAGTATCACTACTTTCTGTTTCAGGATGGCGCCATCGTTTTTGTAGACGGTGCAGGTGTAGACTCCACTGTCAGTAAGTCGAGGGTAATTCAGGGTCAGACTGAGGTCTCCGGTTCTCAGTAGTTCTTCCTTCATCTCAGTGCGGCCTTTGTAGCCCTGGTGTTGCTCTTCATGCTTGTTTTGGCTGTTCTCATAAACAAGGACCTTCACATCTTCAAGGTCTGAACGTCTCCACTCCACTCTGACGTCCTCAAGCAGCTCAGCTGTGGTTTTGAAGGGAAGCAGAACACGCTTCACCCCCGGTGTCACCTCCACTGTCTGAAGCTCGTAGACTGAAGAAAGTAGAAACAAGTTGTACAGACAGGCAGAAGTTATGTGCTGCAGTTAATTCATATCAGTTTGATTTATGTAGTGTCAGATCCCGACAAAAGTATATCAGAGTGCTTTACAATGAAAATAACTCTAAAATACCAAAGAGAGAACCACACTGATCAGGTAATCTCATATGAGCAACACATGTGAAGCAAAATCAAGGATCAAGGAGGTGTGGCAATCTTTTGGGTGGTGAGGGGGTAGAGGAAGAAGATCAGAGAGACCACACATAACAAACAGGACAAATAACAAACTGCAGCAGAGAGAAGACAAAGTTCAGGACATGAACTAGTGGCGTAGAAACATACAGGGAGTGAAATATGGGCATGAAAAAAAATTGTTTAGTGCATCATCGGAAACCCCCAGAGCCTGTAGGAGCGTGTATGAGGGATATAAGCAGTTCCACCTACAATATTTATTTAATGTGAATGTTCACATAGGCACATTTGTTGTCCTTTTATGTGTATACATATACAAGGAAAAGTACTCCATCTTTTGCTTTACTTTCAATGTACTTGCCAGAATAAGCAAACAGACAATACAGATGTTGGGTCTGCGCTTCCATAACTTTCTCTGGCAGTTTACATCTTACCTTGGTACCATTTCAAGCTATTCACTGGAATTGAACGACTTGTATTCCAATAAATAACTGGAAAAAGTGGGGTGTTCTAAAACTTTTGACCAGTAGTGCAGATTTCCTTTTTTCATGTTTTTCATACAGTCAATGGAGTCCAGAGTGTTGACAACAGGAATTGACAACATACCACAGCCTCTGTGATGTGCTTACTGACCTCTGACACTGAGCACCACCACTTTCTGTTTCAGGACTTTTCCATGCGTGGAGACGATGCAGGTGTAGACTCCGCTGTCAGTGATGCCGAGTTCTTTCAGGGTCAGACTGAGGTCTCCGATTCTCAGTGCCTCTTTGTTCATCTCTGTGCGACCTCTGTAAATCTCGTCCTGTTCACCTAAAAGGTGCTGGCTGCTCTGAAACATGTGAACTTTCCTGTGTTTGGAGTCTGAGCGTCTCCACTCCACTGTGGCATCCTGTGGAAGTTCATCTTTGGTTTTAAAGGGCAGCAGGACAGACTTGTTCCATTCTGTCACCTCCACCGTCTCCATCTGGCTCTCTGAGAAGAGAACACAGTAGAACATGAGACAGACAGACATCAGTGAGTGTGATCCTCCATCATGTCCTCTGCTGTGTAACCAGCAGCTCCTGTTTTCAGTGTTTCTCTGACTTTGAGCTCGACTGCTTGTGTGTTGATGTGTGAGGCTGCACAAAGCGCTGCTTTGCTCTGCTATCTGCTGCTTTCTTTAGTCTTCTGGATTTATTCTGTCACACCTGCAGAAACTTACAGCGTCTACCCTTCAGCATGATGCTGGGGAATTTGTGTTTTTAACAAAGCAGTGAGTCAGCAGGAATCACAGCCTCTGCTACACAGCATGGATCAAACTTTTGTTTGGACTCTGCTTCTGTGTGTGTCACATGTGGTGTGATGGTCCCTTATTTTTGTGTTGTTATATTGGCAGTGGTAAATTTATTGACAAAAATTCTTGTTATGAATATGTTGCCATGGAGATCTGACATAGTATAGCCAGATGTTAAGTTCTGTAGAAGAAAGAAGCAGTGTGGAAATTAATGAGTTAATGAGCTGATAGATTGATGAATGATGGAATTAAATGGCAGATGTTATCCCATGTTTTTTTTTTTCATTCAGAGGTCTGTGCAGGCCTTAATCGGATTCACACAGCTCCCTCAGTTCACAAGTTTAATCAAAATGTCTGCATTTATTCATTCAAATGAAAATGTGTCAGCAGCAGTTTGATTTTGTTCAAATTTATGGAGGATCCAGATAACAATCAAAGCTGTTCCACTCACCTCTGACAGTTAGAGACACCACTTTCTGAAGTAGGAGGCTTCCATCCTTGCTGCTGACGGTGCAGGTGTAGACTCCGGTGTCAGTAATGCGGGGCTCCTTTAGTTTCAGACTGAGGTCTTTATCTCTCAGTGGCTCTTCATTCATCTCTGTGCGGCCTTGGTACACCTCGTCCTGTTTGTCCGGCTGATTTTTTCCACTGTCATACACGTGAACCTGCATGTGTTTGGGTTCAGTGAGTCTCCACTCCACTGTGGCGTCCTGGGGAAGATGTTCTGTGGTCTTAAAGGGCAGCAGGACAGACTTTTTCTCTCCCTCTGAAATCTCCACCATCAATACCTGGCTGTCTGTGAGGAAACAGAGCAGATCATGAGGTGTGCACTCAAACCAACACATCAGTCTACCAGGACCTCAAAGAGAAGGTGTTCGATTGTTTCAGTGCTGAAGTCATGGAGGACAGAAAAATAAGAACAACTGTATCCACTGGAGGTCTTTAGGGCCACAAATCTCAAGTGTTGCAAATTAGCATCAAGCCACAACTGCACAAAGCTCAGATCAACGTAGAGCTACTAACAATCATTTAGCCATGTTCACATTAGCTAGCTTCTCCTGACAGATGACACACATCTGTGTGTCGGGTATGTCGGGGTTCCCCTTCCTCTGTAGGGAAATGAGTGCCCACAAAGGAAGAATAAGAGGAAAATCATTCACTCATTACTTCCTGTCCAGTTCTGGTTTACAACAACAAACCAAACAGCAGCACACACAGACACAAGGTCATCATACCTGCTGGGCATTTCATCCTTTTATATCTATAACACATGACGATCCCACTGCTGACAGCCAGGAGAGCCAAGATAGCCAGGATGCCAGAGAGGACCCAGGGCCAGGTCGGAGGACGCTCTGTGGTGAACAGAAGAAACCTGAACATGAAACATGTTGAATTCACAGCAGATTTCCTCACTCGTTCACTACTCTGTGTCCTGATCAATGAGCTCATTCACAAAATAAAATTGTTTTAGATGCAATTTTTATTTAATGTAACAAAAGTGGACCGTACAATCTACAGCTCAACTAGCAAGATGTCAGCAACCTATAAGTGAAAAGATGATAGGTTCTTACTAAGCAGACATTTTATTAGTTACAGCATGCACTGAGCTGCTGCCATGTGATTGGTTGATTAGATATTTGCATTAAAGAAAAGCTGAACAGGTGTGCCTAATAAAGTGGCAGTGAGTGTATATGTGTTGAAGTTGAATAGTGTCCCCTGCTGGAGACACTTGGACATCTCTCAGTTTAGATTTCACACCATTACAGAGTCAATGTCACAGAGCCTCACTGGACACTTTATTAGGTACACTTTGCTGGTATCCTTTTGCCTAGCTTGTTAATGGCTCAGATGTGACATCATCACTCACACGCTGCACATTTATCATGTGACTCTTCTGTTCCAGCACATACCAAGGACGCTCTGTTGGACTGAGATGTGTTACTGTGGAGGCCGTCAGAGTGCAGTAAACTCATTGTCATGTCTGAGATGATCTCAGCTTTGTTACCCTGCAGGAAGCATACACTGAGGTCATTATGGGATGGACACGGTCAGCAATAGTACTCATGGCTGTGGGGTTTAAACTGCTCAGTTGGTATATAAGTGGCCAAAAGTGTCTCAGGAAAATCTCCCCTACACCATCACACCACCAGATGTCTAAGCCTTTAAGTTAGCATGGATCCATGCTTTCATGATGTTTTCACCAAACTCTGACTCTACCTCTGAATGTTGCAGCAGTGGCTGTAACTCAGGCAGTAGAGCAGGTCATCTACTGATCAGAAGGTTGGTGGTTCGATTCCTGGCTTCCCCTAGTCTGCATGCCAAATATCCTTGGGCAAGATATTAACCCCAAATTGCTCTCCGATGCATCCATTGGAGTATGAATGTGTGTGAATGTTACTTAGAACAATGTGCTTGTGCGAATGGGTGTGAGTGGGTGAATGCACAAGTTGTGTAAAGCGCTTTGAGTGCTCAGAAGAGTAGAAAAGTGCTTTATAAGAACGAGTCCATTTACCAAGGTGTGGCCTTAGCCTGCAGCTGTGTTTCCGTGTTTCAGACCTTCTCTGTAAACTCACAGATGATTGGAGGGAAAATCCCTGCAAATCACCAGTTTGTGAAGTATTCAAACCAGCACTCATTGCCACATTTAGAGTCACTAAAATCATTGTTCCTTCTCCATCATTGTCCTTCCGTACAATATAAAGCGCCTTGGGGAGACTGTTCTTGTCATTTGGTGCTATATAAATAAAACTGAATTTAACTGAATTGAATTGAATCCATTCTGTTGGTTAGTTTGAACTTCCGCAAGTTGTTTTCAGCATGTCTACATGCCTAGGTGCAGTAAGTTGGTGTCATGTGACTGGCTGATTAGATATTTAAATCAATGAACAGCTTACAGGTGTACCTAATGAAGTGTTAACAGACGTTTTCGGAGACGTCTGTTAGCCACTAGCTCGATAGCTAGCCGGGGGCTAGGCTAACTAGAGCCGTGAGAGCACCGGACTCCCGGCTAATCGTTTTCAAACCCACCGCCGTCTTTCACTACTCAGGTTAAACATGATATATAAGTCACTTAGATAACTTAAAAATGTTATTGTTTGGCTTTTTTTAGTATTTTATTTGTTCCTGAGTAAATCGGTTTGGCTGAGATTAAAGTTATAGTTTTTACACAGCTGAATAAACGTCAAGCAGACAGCTGATTATCAGAAGTGTGAGATGCTCGAGAATTTACTCCGGTGTCCTGTTATATTTTAGATAGCAAGGAGTTTATTAAACTTCATCAAAACAATCTGCAAATTTCATTAAAATGTAATAAACTATCATCTTGTCTTTATTTTTAGTTAGCACAGACCTTAAACACTTAAAGCTGTAAGCTAATGATAGTTATATAAGAGCAGATGCTGCTGGTGCAATAAGCTGTACGTGTTACATCCAATGGATGATGATCTGATTAGTCGACTAATCGCAAAAACAATCGGTGACTAGTCGACTATCAAAATAATCGTTTGTGGCAGCCCTAGTTATCAGCCAGTGGTGATGTGTGAGCTCAGAGTTACAACATCTCAGACTCCAGTCATACATTACTGTACACACATCATAACGACAGTACAGACGATTTCACACACTGACCTTTGACCTTCAGTTGCACTTGGGCCTTGCTCTGATCTTGTCCATATTTGCGGACGATGCAGGTGTAGGTCCCACCATCAGAGACTGTAGGGTTCCTCAGGGTGAGGCTGAGGTCTCCAATTTGCAGGGCGTTGGCTTTCATCGATGTTCGGTTGGTGTAACGATGGTTCTGATCATTCAGAATATCATCTCCGCTCTGCACACGCATGTGGACTGTTGGGATCTTGAACTCATCACGGTCCCAGACCACTGCTGTGGAGCTACTGGAAACATTGACAGGTACCTGACAGGGCAGCAGGACAGACTCCTCCCCTTCATACACCTCATACACTTCCACCCCTGAGGCATGCTGGGAAACTGATAAGAGAAACAGAGTGTCGTCATTCAGTCTGTCCACAGGGTGGGTCACATGTCGGGATGAGTTCTAACAACAGGTTTTAAATTAGTACCAGTAATGACCACAGTGTGTAACACTAGAAACCTTTGAAAACATATTGAAGCTCATCAGGAGCCTCCATCAGCGCTCAAAGGCATAAATAGGAGCCAAAGAAACATCTGCTCCATGCAGACAAGTTTTTCTTGGAAGGCCTTCATGTTCGAGCAAAGGATGCTAAACCGCAGACTTCATCTATTCCAGCAACACAGCTTCATAAGAGAAGAGTCAGGCTGCTGAACCGCCCCGCCTGCAGTCCGGACCTTTCACCAGCTGACAACATCTGGAACATCATGAGCTCAACAACAGGACGAAGCAGAGCCAGGACAGCTGAGCAGCTAGAACCCTCCATCAGACCAGAACCGCTGCTATCCTCAGCTCACAGACTGATGTTAAAGAGGACACATGGACCTGTCCTACTTTAGAGAAATTTTCCATTTTCAAACTCCAGCGCTTCTCTGAATTCCAGATGTTTCGTTTTCAGGTTTCTGTACTTTGAGCATTTCTCGGGGAGCTCATATTTTTACCTTCTATGTTTTCAAAACTCCAATTTTTACATTTGAAACAAGCTCATTATCTCACGTCACTGCACACCTTCCCTGATTAACCTCAGACTCGATGCAAAGTCTTCACACATGACACGAATCATGTTTATTTCCTTAAAAGCAGCTCATTCAGCATATGCGCTTCCTCACACACACATTTTCTGCTAATTGGCAAAAAAATTATTGCCTGTATTCAAACTGCTGTAAATGACTTGTTGGTCTATAATCTGTCATAAATGATATAGAGTAATTTTAAGCCTGAACATTCCTGCCACAGGGTAAAAATCCTTTTCAGTCCAGCTAAAAACACACACAGAAACTTCTTCCTGGCACACCAGCATCATCCCCTACTTTGACAGTAAAATCAGTGAAATGCAAACGTTTGATCACTGCAGATTGTGTTGGAGCATTCCTGGTCAGAGCTCAGGGATTATGGTGTATTAATGAAGTAAAGCTGAGAAGAAGCAGAAGCAACACAAATGTCAACCATTTGTTTTGCTTCTGTTTGAAAGACATTAATAAAAGTTCCTACAGGTCACCCGAGATCAGCCGACCGCTTGCTTTACTGTGAAAAGGTTGTGAAACATATTAATCATGCTCTTAAAAGTAAAAAAAAACAAAACTGGGTTAACATATAAGAGTTAAAATAAACTCTGCATTCAGTCGGAGACAAAACTTCATTTGTAAAATACAAAACTACTTGTAAAACCTGGAGAGTAACAGACTAAGCTGTGACTGGGTGTGGCTCACCCAGCATTCTGTTATTCACTTATTTGAAGCAGGGACCGGTAAATACTGAAAACATCCCCCTGTGGCTGACGGCAGCCCAACTATAGACGGGTTCAAAGTTCTTACTGTGCACGAGCAGCAGGAAGGACACGAGGCTCTTCATCCTGCTGTGACAGAGACTATAACCAACTCTGCTCCACCCGACACCCAAAAACTCACACGGCTCGAACTTTCCAGCTGTAACAAGAAAGTTTTACTTTCGGTTTCAACCTTCAAAGTAAAACCTCATAGAGACGTATTCAGAGACTTCCTTATTCCATCAGAGGGAAAAGTGCTGCAGTCAGTGACAGCAGGAGCTCAGTAAAAGCTCTATTTTTATTCTCTCTATCATTCTTTTTTTTAAATCGCTCTGTGTCGTAGTTTGTAGTGTAAAGTGTTTGTAGTTTGTAAAGCTCTGCTCTGTAATCGTAGTTTATTGCGATGAAGTTTGTGATGCTTGTCTCCAAAGGTGCTGTAGAAATAAACTTCATCTAAGGGTACTAATGAATAAACCTGAACGGGAAAATATGAAGTAAAAGTGTAATTTTCTAATTAATTCACAAAAAGAAAAAAAAACGTCTGTTAAGACTGATTCTGACTTGTGCTCAACATCTACTAGTAACTTCTGTTGTAACAGGAAGCTGTCATGTTCCTGGGTCATTTGAGCCAGTGTTTTGAATTTTCTTGTTTCATTTTGTATTATTGCTTATGTTTTAGGTCCACTTTGTCAGTGTGGAGCTAATTCTACATAACCTAGATTAGTCTGTTTAGATTTGTTTATTAGATTTCCCCGTGTTGTTGCCCTCTGTCTCCCTCTTTGTGTCTGTGTTTATATAGCTGTTTGAGTTCTGGTGCCTTGTTTCCCTGCTTGTGTTTTATTCCATCATGTTTCCCCAGCCCACAATGTCTGCTCTCTCTCTGCATCCTGTTACCACTCACCTTAGATGAGTGGGATGATACGACCTGGCCAGTTCACCAGTCTAAATCAGTGGAAATCACTGCAAACATTTTAATGTTGAAAATGATTAATTCATGCATTCATTCATTTACAGAGTGGCTTTGATCATTCTGAGTGAAACACCTCAAAACTGTTGTTCTGTGCTGCCCAACCTTTTTCGTATATGTCCGACAATATTTTCACGGACCGGTGTTGTGGATAAATACAACAAAATAAAACCAGTACCAGTAACAAAAAAAAGAGAGGACTTATTCATAACACGCGGACCCAGGGAAACCGAGTTAATGCTAAAAACATTTAAAAATGTAACAATAAAGGCCCTGAAAACCATAAATTTCACACCCGAGCCTCAACTCTCGTGGCCTGGTACCAAACATCTCACGGACCACGGGTGGGCTGGGGGTTGGGGGCCGGTGCTGTAAAACACACGTGACACACAGATCAGCTGAGTGTTCCTGTGCACTCAGGAACCCTGATCCTCTCCTGTTCAATTCGATTTTATTTATACAGCACCAAATCACAACAACAGTCACCTCGAGGTAAGGTAGAACCTACAATAATACATACAGAGAATCTTATGACCCGCTATCAGCAAGTGCTTTGGTGACAGTGGGAAGGAAAAACTCCCATTTAACAGGAAGAGCTCTTAAGCAGAACCAGACTCAGGTCCACCCAGTTGGGGGTGATGGAGATGTCATATGTTGTTGTCCAGGCGAGATCCTGATTGGCGGTGGGAGCTGTGCATCTCTGATCTTCCTCTCCTCATGCTTTGAGATGTCCAACTTTTGGGTCGCCCTCGCTTCCTGCTTCCTTTTTTGGATTTGCACTGACTTAAGATTTGGGACCACATTTCCACTTGCCCTTACACTTGTAAGCTCAGGTGGTTAAAGTTCACAGCTAAAATAAAATAAATTGAACTGATCCAGCAGAACTAACATTAGAAAGTAACTACTTAGAAAAGGATCCTGGTGTTATTTGTCTCTCAGAAACAGTTCATAACTTCAACTCATCCATGTCACCTAAAAGGTAAACCTGTTTCTCCATCACAGCTCTGATGATTCAGTAAGGACATCTCCTGGTTTCATCTGCCGGAGGTTTCTTCCTGTTAAAAGGGAGTTTTTCCTTCCCACTGTCGCCAAAGTGCTGCTCATAGGGGGTCATATGATTGTTGGGTTTTTCT